AGCTATTCACTTCTCTAAAGCAGGAAATTTACTATAGTTTTTCAAAGCACATCACTTGAAAAAACCACTATATCAAAATGGCCAGCAGCTGTCCCCAGATTTTTGAATTGGCTATGGGAAGGAAAAACTGTGAGTGGGAAGAGAAACATGCCCTGCAAAACTCCAGGGAGATGGGATGTGTATGTTAGGCTGAAGTGGTAAATAGATATGCTGACCGTTTTCATGCTTTGTTTCTCAAACTGATTCAACCATCGACTAAACAGTCAGATAAACCCATTAGTGGGAAGGTTCTCTGGACCCAGAAGGTCCATAACCCCAGCCAGCAAAGCTCTCTTTCCCCACCATCTGAAAGTATAATGTAGAATTGAGAATTGTTTCATTTTTCCAGGATACAAAATTGTTCTAACATCATTAGGAAGATTTCAAATGACCTTGGAACCACTCTGAGTTTACTTGTTTAAAATTCCAGAAATTGAGAAAATATCACCATTTTAGTTGTTTTTTTTAAATTCCACCTGCTTAAATTTGGGATTCCATACAATGGCAGTTGTATCAATGGTGAGGTCTTCCTTCTGAGAACTCTGAGGTTCAATATGTCCAACTTGGACCTTCTGATAGGATCGATTGGGGAAAGTAATCAAGTTGATGATATCGTATGCTGCTGCCAGGTTTCCATTCTCATTGAAAGCTATTTCTTCCCCAGCACTATTGTTGAAATGGACTTTTTTCAGAAATAAACGAAGCTAAAAGATAAGAGAGGTAAGTGAGAAATTAGTGCTGATAGTAGGCAATAGGATTTACAGTTCCATGCTGTGATTTACCAAATGTTGCTGAGTTGATTTTTAATGAACTTCCAAACATTTGAGTTAATATTTTTTATGTTGAAAGGCATAATTCTACAGGAATATGTTCATATTTTTTTAAGTTTAAGTAATTAATACAGATTTTGTCAGATAGACTGCTCTTCCAAATTTTGCATTTCATGAGAGACAAAAATTATTGCTAAGAAATATAACAGAAAAACAGAATATTAGAATAACAGAATTGGAAAGGACCTTGAAGGTCTTCTAGTCCAACCTCTTCCTCAAGCAGGAGACCTTAGATCAGTTCAGACAAATGCCTGTCCAATCTCTTAAAAACCTCCAGTGTCGGAGCACCCACAACTTCTGAAGGAAAGCCGTTCCACTGATCAATTATTCTAACTGTCAGGAAATTTCTCCTTAAGTTTAGTTGGTTTTCTCTTTGATTAATTTCCAACCATTGCTTTTTGTTCTGCTTTCATGGGCTTTCGAAAATGGCTTGACTCTTTGTGGCTGCCCATTATATCTAATGGATATCATAACAGAACATATTTATTGGAATCCTGTCCCAGAAAACATGATTAAGAAGTTCCTTTATGGCCTTTGCAGATTAAATCAGCTTACACGAAACATATCTTAGAGAAACGTAAGTATTCTCATTCTATCATAACCCTGCCTCCAACTTCTTTCTATTATTATTATTTTGCAGAAATTCTTTCTTCTCTCTACTGTAGTAAATTTTTTTCTCTATACTCAGCCACAAAATGCTGCAAAAAAGGTAATCTTTTACTGGATTTGAGAATTTTTTGGATTGAAAATTGGAAAGAGAGCAAAAGGCCTCTGGGGAAAAAATTACTTCCATATAGCTAAAATAATATCTGTAAAATCAAAATTGCAACAAGGAATAAGGACTTTCAGAGGTTACCACCAAGTGTCTATACAACTAAAAATAATAAAGAGCAATTTAAAATATATATTAGATATATAATTCTTCTACTCTAATGGAATAGAGTAGAAGAATTATTATTTCTTGCCTACCTGTCAGGTGCAAGAAATCAGGAACCAGAATTGAGTTCATAAGTCGTACAAGTTTATTTCATTATACCTATAAATAGGAATATGAACTACTAATGGTCAAGGCGAATTGGTACCAGAGAAAAGTCAAGGGAGCGGGACTTAGGTCTTTTATGGGGGTAAAGAGACACGAACCTAATGATGCATTTGACCCCACCCTCAGGCTCAGCAAGTAATCTCCTGTAATCTAAACAAAATCATGTTTTGTTCAACCAGACACTTTCAGATAAATGCAGATGGGATTGGAGTAAAAATATACTGTTAATAAATGTTGTAAAAATTGAAATCAATATGCGATTAAAGTTACATTTCCATTACATTAGGAGGCACCATAATTTACCTGCCAAGGTTGGACTTTCAAAAAATTCCACTTTTCTCCTTTGTCCATTGTCTTCTTCCTGGTTCTGGGTGAATACATGGTATGGAGACCTTGTGCTATAGCATACACAGCATTGTAAATATTGTAGCTCTGACCAGACATCTCCATTTCAAAGACAGTTCCAGGGAGACTCCCCAGATCCTCCTTCCCAGTGCAGCTTCCTTTGCCTTGTGCATATATGTTGTACACTGGAAATGAACAGATAAATGCAGCACTCCAGAACTGAGGTAGGAAATACATTTTAGAGTGAAATGGATTTAGGTTCTCAAGGAACTCTTGAAAACCTGGTACCATATTTGTGTGAAGGGCGAAAGACAAGCTGCCATTGAAGGACAATGCTGTGAATTTCTGGGGCTCAAACACGGAAGTGACATCCCACAAAGCACTTATGATCCAAACCCTCTCTAATGGGAGACTGTTACTAATTTCATAGCATTCAAGAATTACTCGTAAGCCTTCTATAGATTGCATGTCTCCATAAACAACTATTACATTGGTTTTACTATTCCATAAGGAACGTCCTATGCTATTTAGATTATTGTTCCAGATGCTACTGGGCTCATAATTTATCAGTCTTGGAATAAATTGAATGAAAGAAATGCAAATATCTCTCTGAATTAATTGTGGCCTCAGAATTCTGAAAAATCTCTCTCCAGTGGTGTCTTCTGGGATGAGAAGGCCGATCCAATTCCATCCAAAATGTTTCAAGAGCTGAATAATCCCAACATAGTGAAGGTTTTCATTAGGAGTCATCCAGAAGAAAGAAGGAAACTGCATTTTATCACTCAATGCAAGGTCAAAAGAGCCATAACTGAGCTGCAGGGAGGGAATAATAATGATGTACTTTTAGACTAGGTATTGCTTCTGCAGACACATCAAAAAATGGAAGTAAGTACATTTCTTTTGGATACAGTTTTTCCATAGAAAATCTTGATGGGCAAGACAAATACTAAACCTGGGGCTCAACAAGTCTTTCCTCAGAGCTTTTGCAACCAGACCATCATTAGCATTCCATTTAGACAAAAATAATCTCAATCTTTGATTGTGCTAACCAGAAATAGAGAGGAGAGAGGAATGAGTAACAAGAGAGATTTATTCATTAAGGACCTGACAGTATCTGAGAGTATTCATCTGGCATTTTATATTATAAGGTTAAGATAACTAGTGCTTTACTGATAAATGTATTTAACATTGTTGTGGCATTTACAGAAAGAGGAGAAAGTCAAAGAACTTGAGGCACACCCAGAAGATGGAGAGACAACATCAGACACACTATTACAGCATCAATTAGCAATGGTTGAGTCCACAAAAGAGCAAGAACCAGAATCTCAACACCCAAAGAAGAAAGAAGAAGAAGATGAAAAAGAAGAAGAAGACAGAAACAATGATACCTAGAAAATTTCTTACAAACTAAATATGATGTTTGTGCTTATTAAGAATTACTGTGGTTGTAATAGTAATTGATGCATTACATTTCTCTGGAAAGATAAATAAATAAATAAAAACTACCCCAAATCAATTCCCCAATATTGCAGCTGTTTTGAGGGGTTCTCTCCACTTTTAACTACCACTCTTTCCATTCTTATGCATTTATGTGAGCCCGGATACCTACCTGTGGAATTTTGTAAGCATTTAATATGTTGGCCAACTGTATGGTGTTCTGGGAAGGGAGATCACCAATGACAGCCATGATGTTTTGCTCCTTTCCCCTCCTATAATTGAGGGGACAATGGCCTTCAACAAAGAAAAGTGTCAAAAGGTTCTCAGAGGCTTTCAGTGCTTGAAAACCATTGTCATAGACCTTGGAGACCAAAGTGATGTTGGGTAACAAGTTCTCATTCCTGTTGATCTCCTGAATGGCAAAACTGAAGGCTAGGATATGCTGTAGGTTTTTAGGCAATGGCCTGCAAGAAGAGTTTCAGTTAGTTCTACAATCTTAGAATGTGACAAGGATTAGATTTAGGTAGACTTCTTTGATAGTGCTTTTCTCTTTGCCTAAAATGATGTATTTGTCTGCTTTAATGTGTATTAGAGAAGTGAACAGTGCACCTATGTTCTGAAGCAGTTCTTTGAAAAAGAAAAAAAATGATTTGTAAAATTCACTAGTTAAGATATTCTAGAGGTGAGGAAAGCATAGAATGAAGAGCTGAGGTGGAGTGTCTGAATGTCACTTGTGGATCAGGTGGGCATCTGTGCATCACATTTTGAGAAGGTTTTAATGCCATTAAAAGGATTATTTCATATATGTAGGGCAGCAAAGCAACTGGAGGGCAGAAACTGATGGATTGTGCCAAATGTTAGGAGAATCCATATACTCAAGATGTAAAATTTTATCACATTGATATATTTAAATATGTCTCATAATAAGTTCTGCATAATAAGTAGAAATCTCAAGCCACCACAATCTATTTGAAATAAAAGTCTTAGTATATAGAAGGGTTTGCAAATAAGGAATAATTGGTCAAATGTCATACAGTGTGATATAGTATGAGAACCATATATATATAAATTGTATTAAAATATACATGCTAAATATTTTTGACAGGTTTTTTTTTCATTTTATATACTAAATAAAAGAATAGAGGACCAGTGCTATTAAAATCACCCCAGGGAGTTTTTCTGATGAGAAGATTAATTCATGTGTAACAGTAGCCATATGAAAAATCATGTCTACAAGGGTACATTCAACAGCTACATTCCAGCACCTGAAATATCATTAACCACAAGAGATATATTAAATAAGAATCATGCCTAAACCAGTTCTAATTCTCATCTACAGTGTGAACAAATTTAACCAGAATCTATTGAATATAATCAAAAACATGAAAGGTAGGTCATGGTTTCTTTCAAAAGAGTACTTGCCATCCACGCAAGAATTCTTCTGGGTGTTCCACAAAGTGGAGTAAAGGCAATTCAGGATATATAGTAGACACAAATTCTCCAATGATTATATCACTGGAGAGGGTAGGGAAATTAAGCTTAAAATGTTGTTTGTCACCACACATGGGGTTAAAGGTCTTGCTGAAAGAAGCCTGGAGGACAAGGAGAGAGAGTAGAAACACATGGCAAAGTATGTGAGCTCTTTTGAATGCCAAAGGAATTTGGCTCCAATTACAGCAGTGCAGCCACATCTTCATCATAGCACTTTGCCTGGAACAATGAACGAGAGTATCTGTTGGTTTTATGCATAACTAAAGTTGTAGATTACAATAATTATCATCTGAGTGATTCATAATGCAACCTACTGAGCCTCATGAAGTTGTTGTTAATAGTAAAGGTAAACTATTAAGTGTTTAAGTGTTCTGTGGTTTCCCCCAAAAAGAAATCAATTAATTAACTCTGACAATTATGAGGTAGGCAAACCCCTTTCCCAGAGCTACTCAACTATTTTTCCAGTTGAAGAAATTTTATGGTCCAAACCTATCTCTTGGCTACTCCTCATCAAGCAAGAAAGAAATGATCTTGGGATCATAACAGATTTGGAGAACCGAGTCTTGCTTTCCCTATCCAAAGAAAGCAATGCTGGTTAAAAGGAGGAAGAGATAATTTAATAGCCAGATAAATTCTCCCTTCTCATCTCACAACCTCCTAATTCAGAAGAATACTTATTTCTTCTGCCCATCACTTTGCTGAAATGGTCATATTGGAAAAAGAAACTCTGTAGTTTTATTAGAAGGGCAATTGGATGAACTGTGGAGAATGGAGACCACTTTTTAGGCACCAGCTACTTGACTCATTAAAATTGGTTGTGGATGTTCCCTCCCCCTGGACTCCTGGGCAACTTCCTGTCTCCATTTTTTCCCTGTTCATTGCTGAAAGAGACAGATAGAGCTGCTGACTACTGCTCTATCATGGTGGCTGAACAGTTGTCTGGAAGGCTTTGATCTTGATGCACTTTGAAAGAGGTGGTGAGTTTTGAGAGAGGGATCTCATGCATCGTTGCCTGAAGCAGTGGAAAAGAAGAGGCTTGGTCCTCTATCAAAACTCACCATCCTCTGTGAAGGATGAGGAATGGCAATTCTTCTTTCAGCTTGAAATTAGGTTCACTATGACTAAACCATATTTCTATAGGTCCATCAGGTTGGTCTTATAGTCATTGCTTTTCTAAAACAAAACACAAAAAAAACTTCTTAAAATGGCAACCAAAGAGGTATATTAGGTAGGCACATTGCTTTATATTATTCCAAACTCTTACATTGCTTTAATTGAAAAAAGAAACCCAGAAATTTCAGTGGCTTTAAAAATGGCATATACATAATAAATCATGCATTAAATACAATAGAAATAATAACAATAAAATAAACCAGCATAATTTTATCACTCAAAAGCTTACTGACCATGCATATATAGTTGTATAATTTTTGGGGTAGCAGCAAAGTGCTAGTTTGACCACTCCCTTCTCTTAGGAATTAGTTTCCATGAATGAATGAATGAAGTAAAGTATATAGTGGTACCTTGGTACTCAACTACTTTCAAACTCATCAAATTTGGTAGTCAATACATTTCAACATGAAAATTTTGTGCTGCTATTCATTGTTTTTTTGATGCATAAGCTTGAACTTCTTGGCATTGGCTGCCATTATTTCTTATGAGAAAACATTGTTTGGTACTCATCGTTTTGAGTCCTCATCATGCTTCCCTGAACAAATTAACAATGAGTACTAGGGTACCACTGTATTTGTCAGTTTTTAGTTTGATTTTTTTTGAAGAAGTATAAGGAATAGTTATATCTTCTTCTGTTCTTTTCATATTTGGAGAATGCAACTATACTGACACATATTTCCACTTTGTCACTTAAACACTCATTTTGTCTTTAACATGTTAGAATGGAAGATTTCAGCATCTTACTAAAAGATAAAGTAGAAGCACAGGAGAGATGTAAAGATGTTGTACAATTTTAGATGTTCTACAACTAAATAGCTAATGTCATTGAGGGGTGAAGTGACCTAGAGGTAGAGCTCTCTTCTCATAATCAGGAGGCTGTGGGTTTGATCCTATGTGTAGTGGCAGATATTTCACTCTCTGGGAACAATGAGTAATTGTCTGTTGCAAACTCTGCATAGGCATCAGGAAGGGCATCTGGCCAGTAAAAACTTGAGCTCCATTCAGCTGCCCCAACTCCACCCTGATGCAAGGGATTGCAAGGTTGTTAAAAGAAAAAATTAGCTAATGTCATTATATAGAGCAGGGATGTCAAACTGCCAGCCCCCGGGCCAGATGCATCCTATCAAAACCGCACCCAGCTCAACTGCTTTGAAATTCATTGAATTTGATACTCAACACATTTTGATGTGAGAATCTTGTCTCAGTACTCATTGAGGTAAAACTTGTTGGTGTCAGCTCCTTTGTGACTCACTATATTATTCCAAATTTGTTTGGTACTCATTGTTTGGTATTCACTGGAACCAATTAAGAATAAATACCAAGGTACCACTGTATAAAATTAAAACCAGAAGATTTTCTTTTAGAACTATTGGATGAAGAATTTGGAAAAAAAATGGAAATTTATTACATATGTTGACAGCAATAAGAATCCTATATGGGCAAAAAAGGAAAGGCTTGTCAATTCCCACAGTGGAAGAATGAGGGAAGAGAAGCATTTTATTGCTGATTTGTTTACTTACTCAATTTATAAGAGCCAGTATGATCTAGGGGTCTTCAAACTTGGCCCTTTTATGACTTGTGGACTTCAACTCCCAGAATTCCTCAGTCAGTGTGCCTGGCTGAGGAATTCTGGGAGTTGAAGTCCACAAGTCATAAAAGGGCCACGTTTGAAGACCCCTGGTCTAGTGGTTAAGGCATCAGGCTAGAAATCAGGATACCATGAGTTCTAGTCCATTAAAGCCAGCTGGATGATCTTGGGCAGTTGCTCTCTATCAGCCTGTCACCTCACAGGGTTGCTGTTTAGGGAAAATAGGAGGAGGAAGATAGGTTGTATATGTTTGCCCCTTGAGCTGTTTATGAGAAAAGTTATAAATATGTGGTGCAAATAAATAAATATCACCTAACTCAAACAAAGTGACTTTGGGTGGTATATAATACAGAATTTCTGCTGAGATCATTTTCTTTGTCAACAGGGATTTGATGCCCTACAACTGCCATAATGATAGTGATTAATTGAAGGAAATTGTGAGAGGTAGAATATTGATGACTGCAAAGCCACTTCAGCTCTGACAAGTTGTGCTTACTGCATAAAAGCCCTGCCAAAAGGTTTTTTTTAATATCACTCTTTGATCCGCATCTGACAACAGCACAATTATTCACTTTTATTTCCTGAATTTTTGATCAAGGTGCTGGGTGCTTGTTTATCATGGTGGTAAGATTGGGGTGGGGCTTCCCTCAAGAGCTCCTAGCTCTTTTTCTAATCTTCTTTTCTAATCTTCTAATCTTCTAAGCTCAACCATTCCTTCAGAAAACATTTGAACATAAAAGATCCTTATCAGCGAAACGTTTCCACACATCCTTCAGATCTTTCAGATGAAATTATAATTGGAGAATTTGTATCCATGATACTTGGTAATTATAGGGAACAGAAGTTTAGGGAAGATCCAATTTCTTCACCAGCACAAGCTTAGTAAGTAATTCTTCATTTTTATCTAAGGTGTCTCTGACCCCATAACATACTTTCCTTAAAAAACCTTCAGTGGTTTTTCATTCTTGGAAGATTCTGTTTGGGTCTGATGATCATTCTTACTTTCCCCACTTAAATGACTATTTCTAAATAATGATAGATCTCTTATTCTGTCTTCTAATTTTCTCCATGTTTTGACATTTTGTATGCCAAGCACACTTATAGCAGAAATTGAGGTGGGAGGCAGGTTTCAGCTATTAACTGAAAACACATAGCTAGCCTGTGTGTGAAGATGGATTTGCTCAGAGCCCTAATAGTTCTCTCTGTACAATTTAGATCCCCTGGTAGACGATAAGGAGTAAATAATAAATTAAAAAAATGTTAATTCTAAGATATTGTTTCATTTGTAGGGTATAGTACCTTGGGAAAGTTAAATGAGAGTAATTAGGAATTCTTACATCCCTAATTCCTTTTAAGAATTCTCATTAGAAACCCTGACAAAGTTTGTCTATGGCTATATTATATTTAATAATGTACTTTGGATGAGTAAAGAGAGAAGCAATTTTGTATATCCAAAGTATACATCCAAAATTTTGTGTATCCTTATATACTTTACCTGGAAAATTAGATCCTCTCTGTCTCTCTGTCTGTCTCCCCCATCTCTCTGATTTAAGAGCATACCGTATTTCCCGGCGTATAAGACGACTTTCTAGGCCACAAAAACCTTCTTAAAAGTTGGGGGTCATCTTATACGCCGAGTCGTCTTATACGCCGGAAAATACGGGTATTCTATTTTATTCCTTTACACATGTGATTTGGTATATTACTCATCAAGTTTTCTCTCCCCCCCCCTCACTCAAAAAGAGTCCTTGATTGGTAGAGTGGCAGTGGGGAGAGCAATTAAACTCTAAGCTGTTTGTTTCAGCAATCCGTCCCCGCGGCTCACCTCTAGCAGGCTTGTGGTTTGCAGCTGCTTTTTGCTAACTTGAAGTCACAGGCTGGTAAATGCCTGTGGGTCTCAATCTTTCCGAGCTGGAGATCAGGGTGGGAGGGAAGGATTGGAGGGAGAGGGAGGAGGGAAAGGAGGCGTGTGTGTGTTGTGTGTGTGTGCGCACGCAGCTGCTTCTCCTCACTGCTTTCTGAGCTGGGAAGGATTGCATTTTCCGAGCTGGAAATCGGGTGGGAAGGAAGGATTGGAGGGAGAAAGGAGGCGTGTGTGCATGTGTGTGTGTGTGTTGTGTGTGTGTGTGTGTGCGCACGCTTCTCCTCGCTGCTTTCTGAGCTGGGAAGGATTGCATTTTCCGAGCTGGAAATCGGGGTGGGAAGGAAGGATTGGAGGGAGAAAGGAGGCGTGTGTGCATGTGTGTGTGTGTGTGTGTGTGTGTGTGTGTGCGCACGCTTCTCCTCGCTGCTTTCTGAGCTGGGAAGGATTGCATTTTCCGAGCTGGAAATCGGGGTGGGAAGGAAGGATTGGAGGGAGAAAGGAGGCGTGTGTGCATGCGTGTGTGTGTGTGTGTTGTGTGTGTGTGTTCTCCTCGCTGCTTTCTGAGCTGGGAAGGATTGGAGGGAGAGGGAGGAGGGAAAGGAGGCATGTGTGTGTGTGCCCGGCACTTGCTCTTTCTATTGTTTTTTATCTTCCTCCTATCATCATCAGTTCAGTTTGGTTGACAGCTTAAAAAACAAACAGCATGGCAGCTCCCATGGTTTTATTATCTTATCCTTCCTTTCAGCTTTAGAGTGAATTAGGAAAAGTTTAATCCACTTGCACTGTTTTATGTTTATATGTTTGATGACAGCCTTATGTTTATAAATGACAGTTTTTCTGCTAAGTACCTGCATGTCATAAGCATTTGAATTAAAATTACCATATTGAAATCAAATCTGATGTTTTTAAATTTTTATTTGGTGTGCGTTGGAAGAGGGGTAGTCTTATACGGTGAGTATAGCCCAAACTCTATATTTTAACTGGAAAAGTTGGGGGTCATCTTATACGCCCAGTCGTCTTATACGCCGGAAAATACGGTAGTTTCTTTATGACATCTATAACTTGTATGAATTACACCATTGAGATATATAATAAAGTACAAAAGAAAAGAGTATCAATATTAAAAAAGAAACCTAAAATATATAGACAGATATATATTGTGTGCATTAATGACAGAGGAAAGAAACTTATTCACTTTGCTTTAGGGGAATATCTGAAGCATTTATTTCAGAAAGAGTTTCCCATCATATAGAGAACGATATTCAGTTGAGCTCTATGGGCAAGCGATGATCTAAGCTGCAAGTCACTTAATTATTAGCCCTTAAGATCTAACATTCAAAATTCTCTTGGCAGTCTAATCCCTAAAAACTACCAGCATGTCCTTGCTTTTATTTTTGCCATCAAAGAAATCAATAAGAATCCCGCACTATTACCCAACAACACATTACGGTCCCAGATTTATGACAATGCGTACAATTCATGGAGAACCACTTGGACCACTTTGGATCTTCTCTTTCTAAGAAAAGGGGATCCACTCAATTATTACTGTATCACTGAAGAGGAAGTCATGGCCAACATTGGGGGACTCACCTCTGAAAATTCTATTCACATGGCCAACATCTTAAGTACTTACAAGATTCCTCAGGTAAATGTTTGGAAATAGGTATATAGAAGAAAAAGGAGAATAACTGTTAAGTCTCAGTGGTAAAGGTAAATTCTTCTATTGTTTGAACTGTCATTTTACATCTATTTCTAATTGAGGACCTGGCTTACTGCAAGCTTGAAATGTAAACTAGAGAAATCAAATTTCTTTCATATCCTTTTCACGAATTTCAAACTAAATACACTGATTGATTGATTGATTGTCTGACTATGTGCCATCAAGTTGATGTTGATTCTTAGTGACCACATAAATATGAAAGCTACTTAACTGGTATTTCTCATCTTCAAAAGGACCACCCATGGGCAATGTAAGTGATTCCATCCACTCACCAAACAATATACTAAAGTGGATTTTTAAGAATGTCCAGTAAATTTGTATCTAATATTAGCAGTCATTTAAAAAGAGTGTATACAAAATTGAATGTTTTTCTGTGATTTAAAATGTTTTTCCCCAGGTTAGTTATGGCTCCTCTGCCCCCATATTAAGAAAGAAAATTGGTTTTTCTTCTTTCTACCGAATGATTCCCAATGAAGCTTTGCAATACATGGGGATAGTTCAACTTCTGAAATATTTTGGATGGAATTGGGTTAGTCTAATTGTTTCAGATGATGAAAGTGGTGAAAACTTTCTTCGAACTTTGAGACCCAAGCTTCTACAGAATAATATTTGCATAGCTGGGATACAGATGATCCCAATTATGTCACTATTTTTATTAAGAGAGATACTTGAGAAAAAAATCCTTCAAATTCAATCTGTTATCTCCCAAAGTAAAATCAATGTGTTCCTTGTATATGGAAATGGCCAGTCTCTGGAAGGATTACAGATGGTTTTATACTCAATGGAAATTGGCCGTAACAAGCCTCTGGAGAAGGTGTGGATCACAACATGTGAATGGGATTTCACTGCTCAGAACCCTGCCAGACAATTTAGCAAAAAATCCTTCAATGGAACCCTATCGTTCTCACTCCATACCAAAGATGTGCCAGGATTTCAGAATTTTCTTGAGAAAATAAATCCTCTGAAGTCTACATTTTATTTCCTGTCTGAATTCTGGACATCAACATTCTTCTGCTCACTCAACATCCATATAATTTGTGGACAGAAAATGAAGAATTGCACTGGGGAAGAGAAGCTGGAGAGCCTTCCTGATTTTGTCTTTGAAATGGGGATGTCTGGTTGGAGTTATAGCATCTACAATGCTGTTTATCTTGTGGCACATTCTCTCCATGCTTTGTGTTCCTGGAGGAACAAAAGGAGGGGAAGCAGGAATCAAGGCCAATGGAATCTCCAAAATGTTCCTCCCTGGCAGGTACTCACAAGTAAATTGGTCAATTCATTAAAACCAAAATAATTTAGAAAACCAAAAGAGAACTAAAACAGAAGCATACCTGATGTAACAACAGAGATAAACTAGTAAACACAACCAGAATTTGAAACTGCAAAGAAAAGCAAGTGAATGTTTTTAGAAGAATGTTGAGAGAATGGAGATACCTTATAAAATATTTAAAGTGAATTAGAAATTGAGAGTCCAGATGCACCAATGAGATGCTGATTTAAAATTAATGCTAAATTTAACACCATGGGGAAAGTGGATAATTTAATCCAGGGCTTTTCAACCAGTGATATGGGTACCACCTGTCATAAATTGGCACCTGGCAGGTGGTACATGACCATCCTATAAAAGTGATAACGGGGGAGGGAAATGAGCTGAATCGGTGGCAGCACCGCACAAGCCTAAGTGAGAGATGGCTGGAGATACAGGGCTGTCAGGGCTCAGCGGAAGCGCCAGGATCAGTGCCGCTTTCCAACTGATTGACACTTCTTTGGGGCTGTCAGGGCTCAGTGGAAGCAACAGGATCAGCGCCAGGCTCCAGCTGGAGCTCAGCGCTGATCCAGGTGCTTCTATTGATCCCTGAAGAAGCACCAATCAGTTGGAAAGCAGCACTGATCCTGGCACTTCTGCTGAGCCCAGAAGAAGCACTGATCAGCTGAAATGTTGCAGCATCTCCAGGGTCTTATGATTTACATTCAGATGTTTGGCAACTGATTCATATTTATGGCAGTCACAGTGTCCCAGCAGAGGGGGCAGGGAAATAAAAACCAAACACCCCCCCACCTCCACTGCCAATCCTCAACAGAAATACTCCCAACAATGAAAACCTCAGACAGGAGGAAGAGCACCACCGGGCGGGCAGGTAGGTGTCTTTCTTGGCTGTGGCTTGGGGGGCACTTTTTCAGTGCCATTGTAACTTTGAACAGTCACTAAGTGAACTGTTGTAAGTCAAGGACTACCTGTACTTTATTACTTTTTTCCTTTTTTTTGGTCATCAAGTTTTTGACACCTTGCTAGGCAACTTGTGCTACTCGGATGTTGACATATCCTAAAAGTGGTACAATGGGTGAAAAGGTTGAAAAGCCCTGATTTAATCCATTCTGGGTTGGCTCCTTCTCAAATTAGCAAAAACAACCAGATATTTAATCCCATTATCAGAAGAGGAATAAACAGTAAGGACTGGCTACTTCTCCCAAATGAGTAAAAAGGCCTAAATTGCTTGTAGCTGGAGTGCTCCAGAAAAGGTGTAAGTTAGTTATGATTTAGGTAGAAATAAAAAAGTGATGAACGGACTGTAGCCTAATTTCTTTGAAACAAAATATTTATCCACGTCATTCAAAAATGGGAGAAGTGAGTTTCTGGAGAATGAATTTGATAGGCAGACTTGTAGTTTCTCAGGGAAAAGGAAAAAAAATCCTTCCTGTCATCTTACATAGTTTAGACGGAATGGAATGAGTCCCTGGTTTCAGATTCAGATGAAAAATATTGCTGTTATGCTTAACCATCCATGTTCTGGCTGGATAAAACCTTTTCGATTCTTGATGTACACTAATTTTCAGTACTGCATCATATCTCAATTTAAATGTCATATCACTGATGTTCCAAGTGACCATTACTTTTCCTTACAGCAGTAACCTATTTTTCCTTCCCTCTAGCTTAATTCATTTTTGAGACAAGTCCACTTTAACAATAACGTTGGAGATGAAATATTTCTTGATGAAGAGAGGGATTTAGCGATAGGCTATGACCTCATCAATTTGGTGACATTCCCCAATGAATCTTTCCAGAGAGTCCAAGTTGGAAGAATCGATCCCAGTTTTCAACTTGGAAAAGAATTCATCATTAATGCAAGTGCCGTTATGTGGAATCCCACGTTTCATCAGGTTGGAACTGTTATATTTTCTTACGCTTAATATCAGTATCATTTGAGTGGTAATCTGGAGAACAGCAAGGAAATTTTTGAGAGAGCTGAATTTAGAAAATATATTGGGGAAAAAGAAAAATGCAGAAAAAGTTACCAATGTCAGATAGTTGTGAAATTAGGAATCTTTCTAAGATTTTAATAACCTGATTCATAATTTTTAAAATCTATCTGTTTCAAATATATGTAATTCAGAATTATCAGCGAGAGGAGAAAACTATTTCTTGTTCTATAGACTCTTTTTTTCTGAACAATATGAACAGATGGTGCCAAAATCTACCTGTGTTGAGAGCTGCCATCCTGGACAAAGCAAACTAATTCAGCAGGGGAAACAAATCTGTTGTTATGATTGCATTCCGTGTCCTTCAGGGAGGATCTCAACTCAAATGGGTAAGTGTAGAATTCAGATCTATCTAGGAAAACATCCAGAAATTTTCTATTTTGTGCTTTCTCTCTCACATACATCTAATGACTTTATTATGGTTTATGATCTCCAATAGTGTATTCAAAGGCTATTCTTATATTGATTTGTGCTTTTAAATCAGGGACCCCAACCCCAAGGTGTGCCTATTCAGAACTGGGCCATGCAAGTGGTGTGCAGGCAGAAGAGACATCTAGAGTGACGCTGGAGGGCTAGTAACTCCGAATCTGACCGGACACTTCTAAGAGCCTATATTAGGACTTATTTAGTGGTGATACGAGTGGCAAAATGTTCGCATTTTCCCACACTTATTGCGTCTGCAGAATCTCGCCCTGCCGCCCTGTTTAGGGTGACCCGTTCCCTACTTAATGTTCGGGAAGCTGGGGAGCCCTTACAGGGTAGAGCAGAGGAATTTGTGCAATTCTTATCAGACAAAATCGGTCGGATTCGGACAGACCTAGACTCCGATTGGGCAGGGCCTTTCGAGATGACTGGGGCAGGTCTTAGCTCAGTTTTATGGGATGAATTTGAGTCTGTGACCGCTGAGGATGTTGACAGAGCGGTGGGAGCAATGGGCGCCTCCATTTGTTTATTGGACCCGTGTCCTTCCTTGTTGGTCTCGGCTGCCAAGGAGGTGACACGCAGCTGGCTCCAGGTGTTGATCAACGCTTCGTTGAGGGAGGGGTCTTTTCCACAATCCCTGAAGGAGGCGGTTGTGAGGCCCCTGCTCAAGAAGCCTACCCTGGACCCGGCTGATTTAAATAACTTCCGTCCAGTCTCCAATCTCCCCTTTGTAGGGAAGGTTGTAGAGAGAGTGGTGGCGCTCCAGCTCTGATGGTCTCTGGATGAAGCGTATTATCTAGACCCTTTTCAATCTGGCTTCAGGCCCGGCTTCAGCACAGAAACCGCTTTGGTCACGCTGATGGATGATCTCTGGCAGGCCCGAGACAGAGGTTATTCCTCTGTCTTGGTGCTACTTGACCTCTCAGCGGCCTTTGATACCATCGATCATGGTATCCTTTTGCGACGACTCGAAGGGGTGGGAGTGGGAGACACCGTTTTACGGTGGTTCTCCTCCTACCTCTCTGGCCGGTCGCAATCGGTATTGGTGGGAGGGCAGAGGTCAACCCAGAGGCCCCTTGAATGCGGCAAGCCACAGGGGTCGGTCCTCTCTCCCCTCCTATTTTACATTTATATGAAGCCGCTGGGTGAGATCATCAGACAGCACAGGGTGAGGTTTCATCAGTATGTTGATGATACCCAGTTATATATCTCCTCCCTGAGCTCTCTCAGTGAAGCGGCCGATGTGATGGGATGATGCCTTGAAGCCGTGAGGGTCTGGATGGGGGTTAACAGACTCAGACTCAATCCTGACAAGACCAAGTGGCTTTGGATGTTGCCTCCCAAAGATCATATTGACTGTCCAGTGTTGACTCTTGCGGGGGAAAATATACCCCCTTCAGAGCAGGTTCGCAACTTGGATGTCCTCCTTGATCCACAGCTGAATTTGGAACATCAATTGACGGCTGTGGCTGGGAGGACCTTTGCACAAGTTCGTCTGTTGCACCAGTTGCGACTCTAACTGGACTGGGAGGCTCTCCTTACAGTCACTCACGCCCTTGTCACCTCACGTTTCGACTACTGCAACGCGCTCTACATGGGGCTACCTTTGAAAAGTATTCGGAGACTAGAGTTGGTCCAGAATGCAGCCGCGCAAGTGATAGTGGTTGCTCCTCGATACACCCACGTTACACCTATCCTCCGTGAGCTGCACTGGTTGCCTATTGGTCTCCGGGTCCAATTCAAGATGTTGGTCATTACCTTTAAAGCCCTATATGGCTCAGGGCCAGGCTATTTGCGAGACCGCCTACTACCTCATAGTTCCCTACGTCCGGTTAGATCCCACAGGCTGGGCCTCCTTCAGGCCTCATCGGCCAAGCAGTGCCATTTGGCAGGGCCGTGGAGGAGGTCCTTCTCTTTGATGGCGCCCATGCTTTGGAATCAGCTCCCCCCGGAGATTAGGACTGCTCCCACCCTGTTGGTCCTCTGTAAACTACTTAAGACCTGGCTTTTCCAGCAGGCCTGGGGTTTATAAAACCTTACCCCTGGATAATTGTTTTTGTATTGTTGTTTGTTATGTTTTATGTGTTTTTTATTGTTAGCCACCCAGAGTCCTTTGGGAGTGGGGCGGCTTATAAATTTTAAAAATAAATAAATAAATAAATGTATGAACACGTGAAGCTCAATTTGTGTGAGCTTTGTGCACCTGCTGCTCATGCAAATGGAGCTGTGTGTGCTCACCCATTGCTTGTGCAAAACTATTCCCTCTCCCCACCACTGCCGGTGCTGTTACTGTTCCAGAAAGCTGAAAAGATTGGGAACCATCATTTTAAAAGACTTTTGTAGAGTTCAGTACTAACTTTTTTTACATCAAATAATATATAAAGAGCAGGAAATATGAAAAATATTAGCACAAAGTTCAAATAATGAATTTATGCTTGTGATCTTCAGATGCAGATGAATGTGAGTCTTGCCAAGAAGAACAGTATCCTAACACAAATCAACAAGAATGCATTCCCAAAGTAATGACTTACCTGTCCTATAAAGATGGCCTGGGAACAGCTCTGACATCTTTGGCACTTTTTCTTTCTCTGACCACACTTATTGTGATGGCAATCTTCAGGTTACACTCGAACACTCCCATTGTGAAAGCCAACAATTGGAGCATCACATGTATCCTGCTCACCTCTCTGCTGCTATGTTTTCTTTGCTCCCTCTTCTTCATAGGAAGACCTAGCAAGGAAACCTGCCTTTTAAGGCAGGCTGTGTTTGGTATCACCTTCTCTGTTGCTGTTTCCTGTGTACTGGCCAAAACGATCACTGTGGTTCTGGCTTTTGTGGCTACAAAACCAGGGAACAAGATGAGGAAATGGATGGGAAAGAGGCTAGCAATCTTGGTTATTGTGCCTTGTTCTTTGATTCAGATTGCCATCTGTGCTGTTTGGTTAGTGAACAAGCCCTCTTTTCCAGAATTAGAGAAGCATTCCCAAGTGGGTGAGATCTTAGTGAAATGCAACGAAGGCTCAGAGATGATGTTTTACATTGTGTTGGGCTACATGGGTCTTCTGGCCATTGTCAGCTTCACAGTGGCTTTCTTTGCCAGGAAATTGCCTGACAGTTTCAATGAAGCCAAGTTCATCACTTTCAGCATGTTGGTGTTTTGCAGTGTTTGGATTTCCTTCATCCCCACCTACTTGAGCACCAAGGGCAAATTGATGGTAGCCGTGGAGATTTTCTCCATCTTAACCTCTGCTTTTGGTTTATTGAGTTGTATTTTCCTTCCCAAATGCTATTTTATTATAATACATCCTGAATTAAATAAAAAGGAGCAAATGGTAAGGAAAAGGAATGATTGATACTGCATAAGAAGAAGCTAAGATTCGTAACTTCAAAATAAAGGCACAATGCCAGGGTAGACGTAATGCAGACAATCTCTGAAAGATTCTAAGGTGAGATTGGCTCATTTGTTAGCTGAAAAATTGAGAATGGTTGAAGGCTAATTGTGTGCTTTTTGCTGAATAAAGATACGTTCTTCATTTTGTTTAATACATATATTATTAAAAGCTTTAAACTAACATAAAAACTAACATTAAGAAAAAAGAAAAGAAAATACAATAGTGCAGAAACAAAAAATAAAAATAAATTAAAAAAGGAGCTTCAAGTTTTTTTTTTCAATGATTAAATGAAAATTATTGATCAAATTAATAATAATGGAAATTGGCCAAGATTCTTTGCAAAGCAGATAGTTAGTAGCTCTATTAAAAAAAATAAGTTCAGTCTTGTGTACAGGAAGTTTATTGACTGAGATATTTTGCTTTCTATGACACTAAGAGGTGACTTCTATTAAAATTAATCTAATCCCACAAAAATAAAAGAAACTCCAGAAAGATAAGAGGCTGTTGCTTATATGGTTTAGGTCTTCTTTTTGAGAAAAAGGCGGGTGAGGCAGGAGAATTTTGCATAAAGATTTCTAGTGTGCCATTTATACTTATTGCTGATTTGGGATCCAATGCCCATTATCAGTTGGTCTATTGCAACGGACTTACTTGGAACTGCCCTTCAAAAGCGTTTGGAAGCTGTGTCTTGTTTGGAGTGCAATTGTATTTGTCATTTTTTAGTATGAGTATACTGGCCCACATTAAAACTGAAATTCTGTTGCCTGCTCTCAAAGGAAAGTATATATCTATTCATACATATGCATAACACATATATACACATGATATACAGTGGGGCAAAAATGTATTGCCCTACTGTATATCATATATACACATGATATACAGTGGGGCAGTTGTGCAAGTTCTCCCACTTAAAAAGATGAGAGAGGCCTGTAATTGTCATCATAGGTAGACCTCAACTGTTGCGTCCTTCGTGAAATGGCAATGACACGAGAAGCAGTTGTAGTTCTCAGGAACTTCTTTATTTCAGTTCAGCATACTGGTTACAAGACACCGACAACACCCCAAACTCCCGGCCTCTTTTATAGGCCATTCCCAGGTCAATCTGCAACTTTTGGCACGCCAGCACCTGCGCATGCACACAAGTACTGGCGACAGCCTGTCTGGTCCCGGGCAGCTTGCACCTGCCCAGGACCATTTGAATGCACCGAGCCTGCTTTCACAGGCTCAGGACATAACACCCCTTCTCCCCCGGCTAAGAATATTGATCATGCAATAATAACACATAACCCATTGCGAGCGTAGTGCCATACTACCTAATGCCAGGTATTTCCCTTGTTTCTAACAGTCTCAGTGTTCTATTTCCTCTGTATACAGGAATGTTCTCTGTTAACTCTGTTTTGCCAGTAGTGTTACAAAATCCTCTAAATACTTAGGAGATCTTCTGGCTCTCTGTGACCTCCTAACTTCTGGGTATCTGCCAAGTACCCCTTGACTGAGGGGTGATGCATACCTGTCCCCCCTGTTTCACCCTGGTGTTTCCCAAGGACTGTGCTCCAATGCCTGGCCTGCTTGCTTGCCCACCGGGCTCGTCAGGTCAGGGCTTCTTTCTCTGATTGACCTGGTTGTCCTGCCTAGCTGTAGGCTCTCTGGCCCCTCTAAGTGACTGTCACTGTTGGGCGATTCTGTAGAACCTCCTAGGTCTGTCCAAGACCTGTCAGGAGGTCGTCTGTCCCCTTGTTCTTGTTCTGTCCCCCGGCTTGTGGGGGTTTCAGTGCTGTCCCAAAACTCAGTTGTCCCCTGAGTGAAATCAGAGGTGTTGTATTCGGGATTTGGTTCCTCGACCACTTCCCTGTATGTTTGCCCCCTTCTAGGGACAGAGGTAGTTTCGGGCCAACTAGAAGGAGTGTGTGCCAGCTCTCTTGCAGGGTATGGTTTGTTGGGATGCTCCCGGGTATCCTCCCTGACTGGAGTACTGAGTGATGCGGGTGAGTAGTGATTATGCCCCCGGGGTGACTCCCTGGCTGGAGTAGGCATTGATGCCTGATTTCTAGTTGAGCTCCATGAATTCCTGTTTGGAGCACTCGTGGAATTTTGGGATGAGCTGTCTGTAGCTTCCTCATTAATGATGGGCAGCAGCCCATACCCTTCCCTTTGCCCAAAGGGGTCCCCCTCCCCACTGGAAAAGACCCAGGAGTCTCAGCGGGAAGGTCCCGTCTAGGGCGAAGTTGGTCGATGTGTCTACGCAGGACACGACCATCGTCCAGGGACACCTCGTAAGACAGAGGACCTGTGACCCTGGATACAGCAGTGGGGACCCATAATTACGAGTCCAAACTGGGGCACCCACAAGCAGTTGTCTAGGTGCCCTGGGGTATGTGAGAGAAGGAGGCAGTCTGTCCGGATGCAACCGGTCAAGCTTGGTAGTCAGTTTGCACCCCCAACGAAGTTCAGCTGGGCTCCTCCCCATAGAAGTGGATGGTGTAGTGCGATAAGAAAGGAGGAAGTCAGCCAACCTATGATGCCAGTCTCCATAGGTAATTTTCTTCAAGGCGTCCTTGGTGATGCGAACCATGCGTTCAGCCATACCGTTGGTGGACGGGTGGAAAGGTGCAGAGGTGGCATGACGAATCATGTTAGCCTGTAAGAAAGCTTGGAATTCGGAAGAAGTGAATTGAGGGCCGTTGTCAGACACGAGGACGTCTGGAAGCCCGTGTGCAGCAAAAATCCCCTTCAGTACTTGAATAGTCTTTGCAGTGGTGGTGGAAGAGATAGTACAACCTCAAGCCATTTTGAATGGCTATCAACTAGGACCAAGAAGAATTGACCCTGAAAGGGCCCAGCGTAGTCAATGTGAACCCTAGACCATGGAGACTGTGTTTCCTCCCATCTATGTACAGGAGCTTGGGGCATTTCGGGGCGCGAGTGTTGACAAAGGTGGCATGCATGCACCTTAGCTTCAATGTCTCTATCTAACCCAGGCCACCACAAATGGCTGCGCGCAAGCGCCTTCATGCGTACAATGCCAGGATGACCCTCGTGGAGGGAACCTAAGACCCTAGTCCTCATTGAGGTAAGAATGACAACTCTGCTTCCCCAAAGCAGACAACCCTGGAAGGTGGACAACTCGTTCCTTTTGGACCAGAAACTCTGAAACTCAGTGCCAGGACAGTTCTCTGGCCATCCAGATAAAACCCAAGAAAAGACACGTGAAAATGTGAGATCTGTGGCTGATTAAGCGGCCACATCCCTGGAATCTAAAGGAGACTCAGGCAAGGCCTGAATGGAGAGAAGAATGATAGTTGGTGCAGGGTCAGCTTCTATTACCGGCAGGGGTAACCTACTGAGGCCATCAGCATGGCACATTTCCTTCCCAGGTTTGTGAAGTAAGGAGAAATCATAGGCAGACAGAAAGATAGACCATCTTAGCATTCTGGGGGAGATGATTTGGGGAGTTTGCTTACGTGTGGTAAACAGTCCCAACAAAGGCTTATGGTCAGTGAAGACAGTGAAATGCCTGCCATATAAAAAATCATTGATTTTTTTTAATTCCAGCAACAACAGCTAAAGTCTCCTTGTCTATTTGAGCATAATTTCGCTCAGCAGAAGACAAGGTTCTGGAGTAATATGCAACAGGAACCTGAGTTCCATCTGATCTGAGGTGGCTTAGTTCGGCTCCCACCCCATAAGGAGAAGCATCACAAGCGATGCACACAGGAAGGGATTCATTGAAATGTGCAAGTACACTGTTAGAAGTGAGTAAGGCCTTGACCTCATTGAAACTTGCTTCGTGTTTTTGTGACCACTGCCAGACTGCCTGTTTGTCCAAGAGCCTGTGAAGAGGCTCAGCTACACTAGCCTTATGTGGGAGAAAGGAATTATAGAAATTCAGAAGGCCCAGAAAAGCCTGTAGTTCGGCCTTAGACTTCGGCCTAGGGGCATGCATAATAGCTTTCAGTTTGGATTCAGCAGGGTGAATCCCAGTAGCATCGATTTTGAATCCCAGAAAATCAATAGAAGGCACCCCAATTTTACATTTGTCCTTCTTAAGTTTGAGGCCCGTTTTCCTGAACCTTAGCAGAACAGCCCTTAATCTCTCAGCAAAATTGTGTGTAGAGTCTCCTGCAATTAAGAAATCATCAAAATAGGGGCAAACCCCCGGTATACCCCGTAGTGTGTTATCCATTACGCTTTGGAAAATTCCAGGAGCGACATTTACTCCAAATTGTAACCACTTTACCTTGAATGCTCCCCTATGGGTCACAATGGTCTGAGCTACAGCAGCATCATCATCAACAGGCAGCTCTTGATACGCCTGAGCTAGGTCAAGCTTTGCAAAAACGCGCCCCCCCCCTTGAGGGAGGTCAGAATATGACTGACCACAGGAACAGGATAGGCATGTTGCTGCAATGCCTTATTCAGAGTGCATTTGTAATCAGCACAGATGTGAATGTCCCCTTTTGCCTTGAGAGGCGTGACAATGGGGATTTCCCAGGGACTGGAGTCGACAGGTTCTAGAACTCCTTGCTGAATCAATTTGTCCAACTCAGTGTCAATTTTACCTTTTAAAGCAAAAGGGACCCTTCTTGCTTTAATTCTAATAGGGGTGACAGTGGGGTCTAACTTCAGTGACACAGGGGGTCCTTTGTATGTGCCCAGCTGGGGGCTGAAAGCATCTGCAAATTCTTTGCAGACTTCTTGTAGGTCGAGTGTTTGCAGACTATTGAGCCCTGTGACGTGTATTCCCAAGGCCTCAAACCAATCAAGTCCTATGAGACTCCTTCGTTCACCCCTACTACTATTACATCTAGTGGACCTTCAAAATCCTTATTCTGTACATTAAGGGTGGCCTCCCCCTTAACACACACTTTGGAGTTTTGAAAGTCTGTTAACACAATGTCGGAAGGCCTCAGCTTGGCCTGAATTTCGCTGCCAGACCAAATCTTCCTAAATGTATGCATGGAAATGATCGAAAGTGCAGACCCCGTATCCAGTTTCATAGCCAATGGAACCCCTTGTAGCTTCACCTTAAGTGACAGCTTTTTCTTAATGGGCTTGTGTGTGCCTGTCCTATAGATGCTTCTTCGCGAAGCGCAAAACCCCACCCTATTTTGGCTGGGAACCCTGGTACCTTTCAGGCGCAATTCTTCCTGAGGTTGTACCTTCTGATGGCCCAGACACACAGCTGCAATGTGTCCTTTTTTTCCGCATGCCCTGCTGATAGCGGAGCAGAATCTACAGTCGGTTCTCTTGTGGCGACCTCCACAACCGAGGCACTTGGGGAGAGCTGAAGAGCTTCCTTTCTGTTTCCCTTCCTTCGTGGGGTAGAGACGGTCTACTTCATCGTCAGGATCCTCCTCTGAGTTCCTTTGGACTCCTTCCTGGTGCACGGACGCAGCATCTGGAGTGCTTCTGATCGGCCGCATGTTCTTGATGGCGCCGCCCGCTGCCTCTTCTGCAGTAACCTCTCTCAAGGCATCTTGGAATGATAAGTCTTCTTTGGCAAAAAGTCTCTGCTGTAACTCTCTATGCTTCAGTCTGCATACAAATCTATCTCTCAGCCGTTCTTCGAGATCCTTGAACTCGCAGTGTTTAGTGGCTTTTCTCAGCGCGGCAATGTATTCTTTGGCTGATTCTCCAGGTCGTTGATCCCTCTGTTCGAAGGTGTGGCGCCACGCGATGATGGACAACTTGGGCTGAAAGTGCTCCTTTAGTAGCTTTTTGAGATCTGCGTAGCCGACAGCTTCTAGAGGTACAGGTGCTGCTATGTTCTCAGCGATTTCGAATGCGTCTTGACCGCAAACGCACAGCAGGGTGGCAGCTTTTAAACTATCTTCTCTTACTTGATTTACTTTGAGATAGTTTTCCACCCTGGCTACGTAGGACTCCCATCTCTCCAGATGTGAGACGTCGAATTCCGAAAGCCTTCCAATTTTTGCCATTTTGTAGAAAGGAAGGGTCTATCAGCCAGCCTACCCCCGATGCTTGCTGGATTGGCGGGTAGCTGCCGAGTCAACGCCGTTCCTGCCGCTCAAGACTCACTCGGGTAAGCTTACACCTGTCTTCTTTCGATGTAAGGTATCCCACCTTCGTCGCCAGTGTTGCGTCCTTCGCGAAATGGCAATGACACGAGAAGCAGTTGTAGTTCTCAGGAACTTCTTTATTTCAGTTCAGCATACTGGTTACAAGACGCCGACAACACCCAAAATTCCCGGCCTCTTTTATAGGCCATTCCCGGGTCAATCTGCAACTTTTGGCACGCCAGCACCTGCGCATGCGCACAAGTACTGGCGACAGCCTGTCTGGTCCTGGGCAGCTTGCACCTGCCCGGGACCGTTTGCAATGCCCCGAGCCTGCTTTCACAGGCTCAGGGCATAACATCAACTATGAGACAAAATGAGCAAACAAATCCAGACAAATCACATTGTCTGATTTGGAAAGAATTTATTTGCAAATTATGGTGGAAAATAAGTATTTGGTCAATATCAAAAATTCATCTCAATACTTTGTTATATATCCTTTGTTGGCAATGACAGAGGTCAAACGTTTTCTGTAAGTCTTCACAAGTTTGGCACACACTGTTGCTGGTTTTTTGGCCCATTCCTTCATGCAGATCTCCTCTAGAGCAGTGATGTTTTGGGGCTGTCGCTGGACAACACAGACTTTCAACTCCCTCCAAAGGTTTTCTATGGGGTTGAGATCTGGAGACTGGCTAGGCCACTCCAGGACCTTGAAATACTTCTTATGAAGCCACTCCTTCATTGCTCGGGCAGTGTGTTTGGGATCATTGTCATGATGAAAGACCCAGACATGTTTCATCTTCAATGCCCTTGCTGATGGAAGGAGGTTTGCACTCAAAATCTCACGATACATGGCCCCATTCATTCTTTCCTGTACATGGATCAGTCGTCCTAGTCCCTTTGCAGAGAACCATAGGACATTTTCCCAATCCTCTTCTGGATCATCCAAATGCTCTCTAGCAAACTTCACAAGGGCCCGGACATGTACTGGCTTAAGCAGGGGGACACGTCTGGCACTGCAGAATCTGAGTCCCTGGCGGCATAGTGTGTTACTGATGGTTGCCTTTGTTACGTTGGTCCCAGCTCTCTGCAGCTCATTCACTAGGTCCCCCCGTGTGGTTCTGGGATTTTTGCTCACCGTTCTTGTGATCATCTTGACCCCATGGGGTGAGATCTTGCGTGGGAGGGAGATTATCGGTGGTATTGTATGTCTTCCATTTTATAATTATTGCTCCCACAGTTGATTTCTTCACACCAAGCTGCTTGCCTATTTCAGGTTCAGTCTTCCCAGCCTGGTGCAGTTTTATAATTTTGTTTCTGGTGTCCTTCGACGGTCTTCACCATAGTGGAGTTTGGAGTGTGACCATTTGAGGTTGTGGACAGATGTCTTTTATACTGATAACAAGTTCAAACAGGTGCCATTAATACAGGTAATGAGTAGAGGACAGAGGAGCCTCTTTAAAGAAGAAGTTACAGGTCTGTGACAGCCAGAAATCTTGCTTGTTTGTAGGTGACCAAATACTTATTTTCCACTATAATTTGCAAATAAATTCTTTCCAAATCAGATAATGTGATTGTCTGGATTTGTTTTCTCATTTTGTCTCTCATATTTGCGGTCTACCTATGATGACAATTACAGGCCTCTCTCATCTTTTTAAGTGGGAGAACTTGCACAATTGGTGGCTGACTAAATACTTTTTTGCCCCACTTTTTTCCCCATATAGCGGAAGGAGGAAGATTGAGAGTTCACAAGGTTGATACTATATGGAACAAAAGTGAGACTGAATCTGGATGTTCTGTTTTGGATACCTAGAATCCTCCTCCCAGAAGGTAACAAGGAAAACAGGTTATGAAGTGGATATGTAGTGTCTCAGACAATATTGTGGACCCTGCTCAAGCAATGCTTATATGCTATGTCCTGGATTGAAGGAAGGGAACTGCCAATAATCTTTTCTGCCATCTTCACCATTCTCTGCACAGCTTTCCAGTCTGAAGCAGTAATGCTTCCAAACCAGACTGTAATGCAATGTGACAGGATGCTCTTGATCAAATGTTGGTTGTCATTTTTAAAGTGCTACATGATACATAGTAATGTGTAGGTCTGCCTGTTTTCAGTGGTGTCACAGTTCTGGCAGGTTGGGAAATTCTGGATCCATTTTGTGAAAGAATGATACCGAGTGGGATCCTGGACATATGTCTTCTGTACTGTGAAGCTTCTTTCCAAAATTCAGATGGTCCCAACCAAATCTTGAAGACTTGGTTCCTTCTTCAGTCATTGGGGTTAGAATATTGGTGGAGTCCTTTAATGGAGTTGTTTAATTCTTATATGTCTTGTAAGAGACTCAATTGACCTTTAAATGATGTTTCCAATGGTGTTTATATTTTTCTTTTATATATACTTTATTAGCTGCTCAGATATATTTGTGTATGGATGGGAAGCTATATAAGTTTGCTAAATGAATACAGATTTAAATACTAACAAGATTAGATACCTTGTTCTATTCATGTGACAAAGCATTAAGAATTATATTGAGTGTTTGGTTACTACTTTTCAAGGGAAGACTCCTGAAGTTGGGCAAAGATTTTTTAGAGCAGGATGGGACAATCTGGAGAATGATGGATATTTTGGTAGAAAGTTCAAGATCCCTGTTTGCGTGCAGTGGTGACAGGGTCCGAGAATGCTCCTTCTCAGCTCAGTGAAAGTGCTCTCTTCCCATCTCTGAACCTGCATACCATTCCCCCAGTATGGAGGAGGACACAGATAAATCCATACTGTCTAAACAATGGACAGGTATGGTATTGGTGCGATTATACAAGCCAGATCTCTTTATCCTGCACTGTCATATGCACCTGCCTTCTCACAAGTCCTCTGCTGATGGAACTGCTTTTGAACATAGGCTTAACACATTTCTTGAATTGGAGATTGACTCAGAGGCCTGGGGTTTGAAACAAGCATTTAGTCAAGTAGCCAAGAATTGCCAGTCAACTTCCGTTCCTCTGGAGTAACCTGATAGGATGAGCAATGAAGCATGTCAGTTTTTTTCTTCAATAAAACTGCCAGCGTTTGTTGTATTTTCAAAGAAATGGTAAGATTGTCCTCTGAAGACCTTTTGAGTGCATTTTTGGCTTCCTTAAGTCTTTCTTTTTCCTTGGTCACAAATGAAGTAGGTCAGTAGAAAACTATTTTAGTCTTCATGATCTGTTCATTCCTTCACATCAACAATTGTGCTTTGAAGAGTCAACTTGCACTCTTTTCCACAACTGATATCCATGCCCAGATAGATAGCTCATACGACTAGGTAAGAGATGTCTCAGAGATCATTATACTGGGATGAAGTGTCTAATTGGGATCATCAATGTCATGGTGGCTTTCTTGGCATGGACATTGCCTGATAAAGTTAAGTTATGCCAATCTGTGAATGGAAAACCCTTCCCCCTTCCATTATATACTTAACAATAGACTTATATTTCCTTTTCTTTTCAGTGAGGTTGGCACATAATCAATTGTGTACATTCAGAACCTCATTTATTTGGGCATCTGAAATCTACCTTTGTAAGTTTCTGTGCTATGTAGGGCTATTATAGAGAAATCACAGTTGGCCTTATCCCTCATTTACTTACCTCAAGATGAGATGTGCAAATGGTGTATTTTTGTTTTAATTATCACTTTTTTCCTCATGAAGCATATTGTACTTTTGATTCTCAATATCTATTTTTCTATTGAAATGAAAGAAAGCCACATCCTCTGTGAGGATTCTATCAGCATCTTTTCTTTGTTGATGTATTTGTTTATTAGATTTATAAGGCCACCCAACTCAAACAATGTAACGCTAGGAGGAATACAATAAAAAAAAAGAATAAGCAACAAACATGACTCCTTCATGACATGGGGCCAGGCTACTTTATGGACCGCCTCTCCCTGATTACATCAGATCACCTCATCAGATGTGCTAGAGGATGCATGCTGTGGGGACCATCAGATAGGGACATGTATTTAGTGGTTTCTATGAAATGTAACTTCTCTGCTGTGTTATCCGGCTTATGGAACATTCTTCATCCCTAAAATTAGATGAGCTCTATCCTGTTTAATTCCTGAAGGCCCTCAAGAGTTGATTATGTCATCGGACCTGGGGCTCTCAGGGAATGGGAGACATGTGTAGATGGTTCTATTGCTGAGATGGCTAGTTTTACTCTCCCTTCACCTAGGATTTGCATTTCTGTTTTTATATTTACTGTTCATATGATTTGTATATATATTTATACCTGTGGTTTTTAATCTGTGGTTTTACCTCTTTGTTGTGCATCATTGAGATTTCCCTTCCATGTGTGGTGGGTAGCTTTATAAATTCAATAAAAAATAAATAAAATAAGGGACAAGATGGCAAAGAAAGTGTGTTGACAATATAATAAAATTGCGTAAATATTGTAAGCTGAAGTAAAATTGCTAATAACAAATCACTATTTTGTTGAAATACCCAGGCAGAAAATGTTTCCACCAGTAGAGAAGTAATTTGGATGGTCTGACTCATCATGTTTTATAGCAGAGCATAACATTCTGAGGTGTTGGCATTTTCCAAAATTTTGAATCTGATCCCCATACCCTGAAATTTAAATTATGATATTAAAATGAAAATGTGTTGGAAAGATACATAAATACATGACTATAAATCATATTAGCATTTTATTGTAATTCAATATAAAGAAGACAAAATCTTATTTAATAAATAAGATTAATTGTGGATATCCTAACCACTATATTTCTGAATGTAGTTTTCAATTTATGGATCAAAGAAAAAGACGCCTTCATCCAGAAAAAATAGTGCACATTTTTTCCTTGTTATTGTGTGTTTGTGAAGTTTCTTACATTAAGAGCCCTGATGGCATAGTGTTAGAAGACAGTATTACATACAAAGTCTGCCTACAGCCTGGAGTTTGATCTTGATGAGGCTCCAGGTTCGCTCAGCTTTCCAACCTTCCGAGGTTGGTAAATGAGGACCCAGATTGTTGGGGGCAATATGCAAGTAATGCTTACATGATAAACCATGCCGAGAGTGCTGAAATTGCTATGGAGCTGTATACAAGTCTAAATGTTATTCCTTTCAAAAATGGAAGAAGACATCTATTCCTGAATAAAATTCTTTGACCAATCATCTGTTATGTTTTCTTCAGCCAAATTAGGAATTAGGGCAGCATTTACACTGCACTTGAAACCACACTAGTCTTTTTCCTAACTAGCTGCTCTCTGGTATTCAGCTCTGGTCTCAGCATGATAATATAGCACTTGGGCATAAAAATGCAACCTAATAAGCCACCACTTGAGGCCAAGATAGAGAAGACCTCCACAGCCACCATGGATTTCCCCTTAGTGCTTAAGTAGGTGGGCAAAAGTAGGAGACCCAAACACTGCAAAAGACCAGCATGCTGAAGGTGATGAGTTTGGCTTCATTGAAACTGTCGGGCAACTTCCGGGCAAAGAAGGCCACTATGAAGCTGATGAGGGCCAAAAGCCACATGTAGCCCAGCACAACATAAAACATGATCTCTGAGCCTTTGTTGCATTGCGCTAAGATCTCATTCAATTGGGACTGCATGTCCAACTCTGGGAAAGGAGGAGAAATGATCAACCACACAGCACAGATGCTTGTTTGAATAAGTGAGCAAAAAACAATGACTGAGACAAACAGCCTTTTCCCTACCCAACACCTTATGCGGTTCCCTGGCTTTGTGGCTATGAAGGCCACAACCACAGTGATGGTTTTGGCTAACACACAAGATACCGTGATGGAGAAGACAACTCCAAAAACTGCTTGCCGGAGGAGACATGTGACTATCCCTGGGCATCCGAGGAAGAAGAAAGAGCAGAGAAAACACAGCAGGAGTGAGAAAAGCAAAGTGCAGGTGATATCCCAATTGTTGGCTTTGACAATGGGAGTGTTTTGGTAGCGGATAAATGTCCCCATCACTACAATTGTGATTACAGCAAAACAAATAGCAAAGCTAGTCAGGATTTCTCCCAGTAATTCTTCATAGGATAAGTAGGCGATAATTTTGGGAATACATTGGTGGTGCTTCTTATTTGGATATTGTTCTTCTGGGCACCTCTCACATTGCTTGGAATCTAAAAACCATAAATAAGATCTTTAAAAATTCTACACATTGAATTGATATTAGGTTTTAACAATTATTCTTTGCTGAAACAGTTTTTGGAATCTTCACACATAAAAGTATGGTTGTATTCTGAGCAAATCTAGACAGCATACTAAAAAGCAGAGACATAACCCTGTCAGCAAAAGTGCGTATAGTCCAGGCCATAGTTTTCCCAGTTGCAATGTATGGCTGTGAAATTTGGAGCATAAGAAAGGCTGAGCACCAAAGAATTGAGGCCTTTGAACTATGGTGCTGGAGAAGACTCTTGCGAGTCCCTTGGACTGCAAGGCATTCAAACCAATCAGTCCTAGAAGAGATCAACCCCGACTGCTCTTTAGAAGGCCAAATCCTGAAGTTGAAACTCAAATACTTTAGCCACCTAATGAGAAGGAAGGACTCACTGGAGAAGTGCCTAATGCTGGGAAAGATTGAGGCCAATAGAAGAAGGGGACGACAGAGAATGAGATGGCTGGATGGAGTCACTGAAGCAGTAGGTGTGAACTTAAATGGACTCCAGAAAATGGTAGAGGACAGGAAGACCTGGAGGAACATTGTCCATGGGGTCGCGATGGGTCGGACACGACTTCACAATTAACAACAACAACAATTCTGAGCAAGTTTCCATATTACCACTTGAATCTGATAAGTAGAATTGGCTTCATATAAAAAAAATAAACCTGTTTCAAAAATTTTGCCTTAGGAAAATCTTTTTAAAAGTTTATTTAATATGCCATGTTTCTTGAAGAAGAGATTACACCCCTAAATAAAGAAAAGCTTCTATTTAAAAAAAGAAGAAAAAAACAAGGCAGGTGAGAGATCCCAATCAATCTATTCTTGTGTTTAAAATTATATTAAAAAACCCAAACTTGATTAGAGAATAATGTATTTTTAAAGAGATACAGTATTACCGTAGATCTCTTTTTCTTACCAACCATGATGGAAATGCTTCCCTCTGAACATTGGACACAGTCATAGCAGCAAACCTGTTTCCCCTCCTTAATTAATTTCCGGTACCCAGGATAACAACTGCCTACACAGGTGGCAGAAGGTGGTGTCTAATGGGAATGGAAAGAAGAAATAATTAAGAAGAATTATAATCTGGTTTTTACTCAATCTGTCAGCAGTCATTCTCTGTAAATAAATGCGAAAGCAGTCATTTTCTTGTAAGTTCTTTAATGCAAAATTTTGAATTCCGAGAACTTATTGCTAGATTCAGTCAGAATAGAGGTAAACATCTGAAGAGTGTTCTAAGTGCTATTGAAAATTTGGATAAAAATCCCTTCACAATTCTTACATCATACATAAAACAATTTGAAATGTCCTGAAGAGGGTCATGGAAGAATCTCTCACAATCTCTCTCGATTACGGGGTGCCTCAGGGCTCAGTCCTGTCCCCCCTCCTTTTTAACATCTACATGAAACCGCTGGGTGAGATCATTCGGCGACACGGGGTGAGGTATCATCAGTATGCTGATGATATCCAATTGTATATCTCCACCCCGTGTCCTTTCAGTGAAGCAGTCAACGTGATGTGCCGGTGCCTGGAAGATGTGA